CTTCCCAGCAAAGGCCTCCGAAACATAGCAAAGTAAACCAGCCCCCCCGCACACGACCTGGACCTGCCGCTGTGTGACCGCCTTCTGCTGGATCAGTTGAACGGCCAAACTATAGTACTTGCTGAGCTTTCCTTCCTTGGGGTAGGCCAGCCCCTTGACCCCATCAACGGTGGCTCCCTGCAACTCACAGTAGCTTGACCTCACTACCGACTTCTTTTCATTCCGAGGAACCTCCCAATACTCATACTCACCCCGCAGTGCCAAGATCCCACTCGGCACCGTGCCTTCTAACTCTACCATCCCTGTAGCACTAACACGCTCGAGGAGGTCATAGTTGTCCAAATAGACCCGCCAGCAGTGGGGCGTGGCGGGGAAAGACCTGTCCTTGCGAAGTTCTTGCCACTCCAAGTTCGTGCCCTCCTTGTCATTGGACGACCATTGTACCAGGTTTCTGTGGACGTTTTGTGCGATGCTCACCGAGTTGAGGAACCCCATCGGCAACACTCTCGATGCGAGATAGACGACACGTCCTTTCAATTCCTCCGGTAGCACTGAGTCAGGGACTATCTTGTTAAAGGCGAGGAACTTGACCCAGCACTCTGGCACCCGCATCGTGTAAAAGAAACACTTCACATCTTCTGAAGAAATCAGAAGATTCTCATCGGGCTGGAGGAAATAGGGGTTCATCATGCCCCATGACGGCAAAGTATCAACGTCTCCAGAAAGCGGTTGGCACAGTTGATTCAATGGTACCAAATTCATAATCAGACGGCAAATTTCGGTTCCCTCCGCCGTCCAATCCTCCTTGGAAACGCCAAAAAGGCCGTTCAGGAGTGGTCCACTCCCGGTATCAAACACCTCACACTCCTCCAAGAACACACAAACCCCCGACTTCACCAACCCTGCACAGAGCTCCCCCCAGGCAGTCTCCTCAACCATGACCTTTGGGCGCTCGATCTTACCCCAAAGGTGTGGAGGTTTGAGGTAACGATCAAACGCCACTACATACTCCCGACACCCCAGGGAGCAAACCTCCTCCAAAGGCACTGCACCGATCTCCTTGAGCAGTGCAGGCGCAATGTTTTCCCATCTGATCCACCTGGCTGTCTTGACCTCTTCTCCTTTGTAGTCAATACTTCTTACAGCAAAAAAGGCACTCCAGTCCACGCCCACCGTGACCAGCTCTAGATTGCAGAATCTCTCTACCTCAACCAAAAGCCCGTTAAGCACCTTGATCTGAATCTCTGAAGCCTCTGCCCTTCCGGGGATATCTCCACCCCAGAACGAATTCAATGCACGTGTCACACAAACCATCCAGTCAAGCTGATCCCTAGACCTGGAGGGCCAAAGGGTCCCAAAGAAGTCAAAGGAGGTGGGCAAAGGAAAAATATCCGTAGTGGCTCCCTTACCCGTGATCGTGCTGCGAAGTGGAACAACCTCCAAAAACTTTTCGGCGACCCAGCCCCCCATACATGCGACCGAACGCCCGTCAACCCAAGTTTCAGCACACTCCTTTTTTGCACCAGCGTCCTCACGATCTGGCACCTTCGCCATATCCTCTTCGCTGACAAACGGCGGAGGCAATGGCGGGAAACTGTAGTCCACCCCTGACGTAGGGATGTCATCGGCACGCTGATTTACCACAGCCGCCGGCTCACCATCAACTGCTGAAATGCCATCTGTACCCAGTGCTCCCAACGATCGGTCGACCAAGCTGGGAGCACCGCCATCGGCCAGCATCTCAACACTTGCATCAATGCTCATAGCCACCCTCCCGGCAACAGGAGGGAAAGTGCGATCATCCTCCACTGTACTCTCAATGCATCCGTCTCTGTTCATAGCCTGCCTCCCGATCCCAGGAGGTCCTACTTCGACGGGTGATCCTCCCTCTGGTTCTGCTTGCCCTTGTCCTTCGCACCCCCTTTTCCACGGCCTTTGTCGCGGTCCTTCTTGAAGTCGTCCTTGTCCTTGGTCTTGCCCTGCCCTTTTGAGGCACGACTCCGCCCATCCGGCAGTCCTGCCAGCATCTTGGTCCGAGCGTCGGTGTAGGCTTCCTTTTGGGCCGAGCTCAGCTCCTCTTGCCCCGTTAGGCTGAGGTTCTCGGACGGCCCCAACTCTAACCTCTGGGCCACCGACCAGTGGGCACCCATCAGCCCGGCCTCCACCGCCTTGAACCTCTGTAGAAGGGTGTCCAAGGCCCTCGATGGGCGAGCTCGTAGGAGCTGATCTACCGCAATCGCCAGCGTGACCAGCTCCCGTAATGCGGGGCCGCTCGCACGCCGATGGAGATGTTGCCGTAGATAAAGCATGGCCACGGGTTCCACGCCATTCGACTCTCTTGCCGCCCCAGCCTCCTGGAGAAGGTTGGCCCGCATGGTGGTGATGGCCTGACAAGCTAAAGCGCCGGGGCAACGCTGGCCGACCCTCTGGATCTTCGACTCTCCCTGGAAAAGGGCGTCCTCCAGCTCCTCCTCCGAAAGGCTGCCCTCCTCCGAGGAGCTGCTGTCGCTCCCGCTCTTGGACTTCTCCTTGGTCTTTCGCCTGGCCGCTCGCTTGGCCCTCTTCAGGACTCGCTTGCGCACCTTCTCCTTTCGGTCCAACCCTGTCCCGGCGTATAGGGCATCGTAAGTCTTCGTGGAAGCCGCTCTCGGCCTCCTTCCGTCCAGGGCGGCGCTTGCGCTTGAGCTCGCGGTAGAACTCCTCCTCTTCTTCTTGCTGCCTGATGCCTTCTCTCCCTTTGCTCCTCCTGGGGAGGGGCTGTCTCTGCCCTCTGACTTCTTCCTCTTGCGCCGTGGGCTTTTTCCCTTTTTCTTCTTCTTCTTGCCGGACTCTTTCTTCCGGGTACCTTCTCCTTCCTTCTCGACCTCTGCAACTCCTTTCCCTGTTTCCTCTCGGCTCCCGACATGTC